GCCCCGCACCCGCGCGGCCGGACGCGGCCGGCGTGGCCAAGGCGTCTCTGGAAGGTTCGTGAGGGCCTGTCTCCCCAGTGCCTGGGGCAGCTGCCCTCGTCCAAGCCTCGTAAGGCTTGGCCAGCCTTCTGGGAGGCAAGGTCCCGCGCTAACAGAGAGGGAGAAGCCTTTTTCTGCCTTCACATGGTCGTCTGGGCCACGGCTAATGATTTTTTAGGTGCAGCCACAAAATAAAGAAGCGATAGCCACGGGTCTGTATCCTTCAGTACGAGAACAAAGCCTCTTAGCACAATGATCCCTATACATACATACATGTGTCTGTGTTTTTTATATATCTAATTTGTTTTCATTCAGCGTAGCTTTACGTTGTGCCTGATAAACTAACACAGGGATTCTGACCCTTCCTATCCTGAATATTTTTCTCCAGTGGATTTACACAACTATTTATTGACGTCCAGCTAGCAAAAAATAAAATAAAATAAAAATGCTAGGTGTTTGCAAGAGCAAAAGATGAATGATCTAGTCTGTCGTTCCAAGTACATACGTTATAACTTGCAGGAATGATAAGGTAAGTACACATGTGCTATGTTTTTAAAAAACGATTATGATGAAATATAACGAGGGATACAAAGTTCAGTGCGCGGCCTAAAAAGAGAAACAAGTCTGGGAGACAAAAAGGGAGGTCAGGAGGAAAACTTGGAAGAGGGGTTGCATATGAGATGGGTTCAGAAGGATGGGTGCATTTCAGCCCACAGCGTTTATGAGGAGGGGGTACGGCCTGAACCAAGAATGCAGGAGAGAAGTTAAATAAGCTTACAGTCCCTTTTGGGATTGTCAAAGAGAAATTGATTAGATGTAAAAGGTACTTCTGTGGAGCACCTCTGTAGCTGAGACACTGCAACTTTATGTAATAAACTTTAAAACATGAAAGAATTTTAGGTAGGCAAAATTAATCTGGAAGTAGTTGAGAGGAGGTGAGAGGCCCAGAAGCCATGAGGAACCACCACGATGGCCCACTAGAGAATTGACCTGACCCTGGGCAGAGACAGTGGGAAAGGAGAAAGTAAGTAGAAAGCAAGCAGACTAGATCGCACTGCTAGGGCATAACCCACTGGTCTGGCCTCTTTGGCTGTAGGGAGCAATAAAAGGGAAGATCAATTTACATTTTTTTAACATCTCAATACTGGATACTAATAAAATATGGTCATATTTATTATGATCAAAATTATTAAGTCAAAAACATAAATGCTTGGTTTTAGTATGCCCACATACAATTCAATTTTTGGAGTAAAGTTCTTTGGCTGTAAGAAAGAACATTTTGTTTACTTCACTAATAGGAATATCTCGTAATGCTGGAATGTCCTCTTCTTGGTATTTCTTCTGCTGTTGATTTTTACTGTACCTTTCCTATGTTTAGATACACAAATACTTAATTGTATTACAGTTACCTACAGTATTCAGTACAGTAACATGCTATACAGGTTTGTAGCCTAGGATCAACAGCCTATACCATACAGCTTAGGAGTGTCGTAGGCTGTACTATCTAGATTTGTGTAAGTATACTCTGTGATGTTCACACAATGATGAGTTCGCCTGATGACACATTTCTCATACCAAATCTCCGTTGGTAAGCAAGGCATGACTGTATTTCCTTGTTTCTCACGAGTGTATTTCCTTGAAAGTTCTTGCTGCCTCTCCCTCCCTCTAACTTTTTGATAACTTTCAAAAATAAATGAATGAAAAGGAAACAACTCCCTTGATGTATCTTTGGAAAATACAAGGCTCCAGTAATTGCAGTTCCTCAGAAACCAAAATCACTTAAAAGTTGCTCCAGTAAGATGTTGAGTGTGTAACAAGGGTACCTGCACAATGAATATTTGTATGCCTAACCCTGAATTGTACCCCACGTCTTTAAAAATAAATTTAAAAAGGAAAAGGAAAAAACATGTTGAGTGTGGCAGTTAATTTTATGTGTCTACTTGACTGGATTAAGCCAAGACAGCTAATAAAACATTATTCCTATTAATGAAGTAATTGTGGAGTATGTCTATGAGGGTGTTCTTGGAAGAGATTAGCATTTGAATCAGTAGACTCCCCTCACCAATGCTGGTGGGCAGCTTCTAATCCCTTGAGGGCCAGAGTAAATAAAAAGGCCATCAGGAACCACTACAATAGCCCTCTAGAGGAGGGGTCCCCAACCCACAGCCGGAGGGGTATCAGTCTGTAGCCTATTAAGAACCAAGCCACACAGCAGGAGGTGGGCGTTG